GCTACAAGGCTATTTACATCAAACGCTTAGTTTTAAAATGAGGTGAGCTTAAAGGGCTAAAACAAGGTAGTGCTCCCATATAAATACACGTTTTAAACGTCTATATCTCACTTCAGTTTTGTCGTACCGAAAATTACCGGCGAGGAAAATATTTGGAATTAAAAATGCTACAATTGGATGCTGTAGCAATTTTTATTTTTACCTCCAGTTATTTTGGAGCGAAGGGCGTTTTTCACAAAACTGCAGAAATTCATTTTTCACTTTTAACTTGAATTATTTCAAAATTAAGACTTTTAAACTGGTCACACTTCTAGAGGGTACTAATAATACGTAATTAAAGAAAACTGGAAAAGGGGCAGGACTAATTGCAATTAGGATGGTAATAAGGGGTTGCCTGCTCTGATTTTTTCGCTGAAAAAAGTACAGATCTACCTTATTTTCAACGTAAGTCACTTAATTTTTATGCTAAAGTTTGTTTTTAAAAAAAAGAAGAAATGTGTTTTAAAATAAAAGAATATTCTACAAGATTTTTGGAAAAATGCATAGGTTTGGCGATATTTGACTGTGAAACTTACTAATTTAGCGTTTGACGAACAAGAGCTAACCTTTAACAAGCCGCAACTCGGTTCGTATTGGTCATACAGCACGTATTAAAAAACCATTTTCTTTGTTTTTTATAAGCGACCATTTTGTTCTGCTTCTGCTTTTAATGCATACTTTTCGAGTTTTTCGCGAATACCCAATTAAAAACATTGATCTTTTCTATGAGAAACTCTTTCATTCGCCAATAACTGGAGAAGTATTAACTTTCCGAAAAAAATGTACACTTTTTGTTTAAAATTAATGTTTCTACCTATTCCTGTTACAATAAAAAATTACCTTCCCCGAGTTGGAGTGCCAAGCACCCCCAGGGCGAAAGCGCCTTTTGGCATGATATAGATTTTTGATCCTCAGGCTATTCCCTACCTACTGTCAAAATTTCAAGTTAATCGATTCATTTTGAAGAAACTGCCAGGGTAAAACCTTCATTTCCCGGACTATAAGATTACTGGATGATCAAAATTTTTTAACTTTCAATTTTCAATTGTATATTCCATTGTTATTTAGTTAGGCACGGCTTGAGAACACTCGCCTCGAAAACGAGCCAAGTTGTGTGTCGAGCTATACTTATTTTTTTAGAGCCGAGTTTACAAAAAGTTTTTCTCGGATCGGCTCGGTTCCATCCCTAGGTGTATATAACAGAAAAATCAATCAATTGGTATACATTTTATTATTATTATCTACAATGGCGGTTCCAACATGACCTCTTCAATGTTAAAGGTATGACCTAAATGGAAAAATTTTACCTTAATTTCCTTTATTCTTAAGTGCGTGGACTTTCAGCCCAAGGTGCTCTACTAGCCCATCCCAAAATCACTATACATTTACAAATCCCATGCCCCAACCAGGGACTCTTAGTACCGAAGATGAGCTTCCACTCCACTACCCTAAATAGATAAAAATATATTTACTAAGAAGCTTGCGGTGAGTATTTCGATTGAAGAATGTAAAAATAACAAAAAAGTTTCTAATAGAATTCTGAGGCTGCAAGTACTTTTCTATAATTATAAGACTTTCTCAAAAGTATTTCTAAAAAGACCTAAGCACATTTAATATTTTTAAAAATATGTGGATTTTTAAGAATATAAAATAGCCTCTATTAAAATTTATAATTGGACTTCTTTAAACTCGTTTCATAAGTTATCTATAAAATTTATTGTTTCTTATAAAGTACGTAGTCAATGATAACGTCCTTTAAACACTACTTAAAGTACATTGCTTAATTGTTTGTACCTAATTTTGTTGATTCTATTACCATGGTTTCTACCTAAACCTAAACCTTTTTTGTTTCATGATATAATAATAATAAAAGACGAATTCGGATAAAATAAGCTTCAATGTTATAAAAACGCTTAAAGTTCACGGCTTAGTATAGTATAGCTTAACGGACCTTTAAACCTTTAAAGCACCTACAGAACACCTGGTTATACTTTAACGTTATCAACAAATTTCATATGAGGGTATGAACACTATTTTGATACACAGAAAGGAGCAATTTGTTTATTTAAGCCGGTATTTTCACTCCAGCGTTAAGTGAATGCTTTTTCCTACAATCTATTGACATTTCCTCACTAGTGCGGGAATTGATCATTGCGCACGCGATTTGATTAATTTTTAAACGATTGTAGGAAAAAAGTTGTTCGTAACATGGGCGTGAAGGTGATTCTGAACCTACCGAAATTCGTACGCTCGTTTTGGCAACATCCTGCTTTCGTTTCGGACTCACTTGTTAGGAAAATAACTATTTTGACTACGGATCCTCAGTCTTATTTCGGGGTCACGTGTTCAACAACAAATTTAAATTTCCTGGGATTACGATAAATTTTGCAGGTGGATTCTTTATCAATATTTTGTAGATTGGGGGCCCAATTGGCAATGTAAGCCAAAAAATGATGAAGGCCCCCTTTGATATCTTCGTTAGTTATGAACCGAATTGCATGAATTTCAAACTGGGCATAGCCAGTGCCATTGTTTAAATACTTAAACAGTGCCAGTACCATATCAAATGGAAAGTCACCGCTTTGGTACTTTTGATTATGTATGTTCTAGTGCCGGACGGGTGGACGTACGGTGTAATCAAATTTCGGACCTCGAGGACATATAGTTCAAAATAAAACACTCTAACTGAGATCTAAAAAAAACCTCTTCTGAATTTTTGCAACTTACAATTGCCAGTAACAATTCCTTTGTGTTGCAGCCCTGAATACATGTACGAAAGCACAGTAACCAACGACAAGACTTCTGAAGTAGCTGTACTGATTGACACTGTTGCTGATGAAGATTATGACGATCTGAGGCCAATAACTTATAATCTCGTAAGTGCGGTTGATTTTATCTGCCTTCTTTAACGAAAGCGGAGCGTCCCACGCTTTCATCCCCAAGCTACCAATTATGATCTAGGACTGTTTTGACCTGTTCCTGTCAGTTAAGTCAAAATTATGCAGAACAGAATTTCCAGAGATGCAGTTTTGGTTAGGAGATAAATATAAGTATGTTTTTGGCCTAAAATTTCAACAATAAACCGATAATTTTGACTTAAAACCTCAAAACTCATTAATTTCTGACTTTAAGCATGGAATAGGTCAATCAATTTTTTATTCAATGCTTTAAGCGTGACATTTTCACTTTCACTGGAAATTTATTGACGTGTATAAATGCAAAAACGGTTTTATATGCCCCCTCTCCCATATGTATTTTCACGTCGAAATAATGTAAAATCTGTCAATCGTTTGTGTTCGGTTCCAGAATTGCAAATTGGTAATTTTTCAAAAATTAAATACCAAATTTTGCCGTGATTCGACTTTTTCTCACTACAATTTAATGGTGTGAGGTAGGAAATTTTTGAAAAAATGCACAAAATCGGAAAAATGAAATACAAGACCTATGTAAATTGGAAATTCTGGATTTAGCACAATTTTTAATATTTTTTAATACGTTCATAGTTTATTTCTCTACCAAAAATGTAACTAAGTATAAAGTGCAAAAAAATTGTTTTTGTTTCTCAAATATCTTTTATGGACCATCTAGAGGGTTTTTGATATGAGAAGACGAGGACGGGTAGATATGCAGTTTTGAAAGGAGTGATACATGAGAATTAATTACATGATTAAACCTTTTTTTTAAACCACAGTTGGGGTATTATCTGATAAGGCCTTACGCCATTTGCAAATTACCTTAAATTTAACTGGAAAAACCATGTTTCTATTACCTATTTCTTATTTTTGAATCTTGGTAATGTTGCACTCATTATGAATAAATATGAGAATTTAGAAGGTACAGTACATATTGGCCATGGGGCATTAAACCGAGAACGGCCTTTTATGATTCGTAGTTTTTCGGTACGTGAATTGACCTTTACCTACGTGGGTCAAATATTTCTATGTCTTTGATCGATTATGTTAAAAGGATATACAAGCAAACCTTAAATTGCCAAGTATACTTAAAATACCATTCCGTTTGTAAAATTCGTAATTTTTAAGAAAATTCGTTCTTACTTACGTAGCACTATTCGATTGCGGGGGTTGTAAATTATGTTGTGAGTCAAATATTTTTATTTCCTTGATCGATTATATTAAAAAAAACTACAAGCAACCCTGAAATTGACAAGTATAAGTAAAATTCCACCCCGTTTCAAAAATTTGCATTTTTTAAGAAAATTCACTCTTATTCTCGTAGCATTATCCTATTGCGGGGGTTGTAAACTTTGTTGTGAATGAAATATTTATGTCTTTGATCGATTATATTAAAAGGATATACAAGCAACCCTTAAATTGCCCAATAAACGTAAAATACCATTCCGTTTGGAAAATTCGTGATTTTTAAGAAAATTCGGTCTTACGTAGCAGTATTCGATTGCGGGGGTTGTACATTATGTTGTGAGTCAAATATTTTTATTTCTTTGATCGATTATATTAAAAAAAAACCACAAGCAACCCTGAAATTGACAAGTATAAAAAATTCCATCCCCTTTCAAAAATTCATATTTTTTAAGAAAATTCGCTCTTACGTAGCAGTATTCGATTGCGGGGGTTGTAAATTATGTTGTGAGTCAAATATTTTTATTTCCTTGATCGATTATATTAAAAAAAAACTACAAGAAACCCTGAAATTGACAAGTATAAGTAAAATTCCACCCCGTTTCAAAAACTCGCATTTTTTAGGAAAATTCACTCTTATTTTCGTAGCATTATTTTATTGCGGGGGTTGTAAACCTTGTTGTGGGTCAAATATTTCTAAGTCTTTGATCGATTATATTAAAAGGATATACAAGCAACTCTTGAATTGCCAAGTATACTTAAAATACCATTCCGTTTGTAAAATTCGTAATTTTTAAGAAAATTCGTTCTCACTTACGTAGCAGTATTCGATTGCGGGGGTTGTAAATTATGTTGTGAGTCAAATATTTTTATTTATTTGATCGATTATATTAAAAAAAACTACAAGCAACCCTGAAATTGGCAAGAATAAGTAAAATTCCACCCCGTTTCAAAAATTCGCTCATATTTACGTAGCATTATTCGATTGCGGGGGTTGTAAACCTTGTTGTGAGTCAAATATTTCTATGTCCCTGATCGATTATATTAAAAAGATATACAAGCAACCCTTAAATTGAAAATGTTTCGGCCCTCTCTACTGCACAGTTGTTTTTGGACGCTGTATAATCGCCAATTAATAAGCGACTTACTGGACAATCACGTAAAGAGGAAGGCAACTGATGTGTTTATCTAAAACTAGACTATAAATTGCGAAGACCTTCAGTGCAGAATCTCTTTGTTGTTTTGCTTTCACATGATGAAACAATCAAAAAACTTACTCAAAATTGTTGTAGTTGGTGATAACAAAGTGGGAAAAACTACATTAATCAGATGGAAAACAAGTGGTTCCTACCAAGATTTAACTGGTCCAAGCGAGTGAGTCAGAATTTGTTTATACCTTAGGCTACTTCGTTCTACATTTGTAGAGTATTTTATCCCACTTCATTTAGTGTTGATAGCAAATTATCGCTAGCTGGCTTTATCACTGATTGTCCCAGCGGAAGTGATTATACGACAATCAGGTCGTGTTTGTATAAAAATGTGCAGAAAATTATCACTGAATATTTCACTTACATTTGTTCTTTTAGGCCAAGGTGATCTTAGTATGCTACTCCGTCGACGATGAGCTCTCCTTTTTTCACGTGGTGCGCAAGTGGGTCCCAGAAATTACTAAGCACCAATCCCGAATTCCATTTATTTTAGTGGGTGAGTTTGGCGCATTGATCAATACTTTGCAATTTTAATGGTGACAGGTACGAAGAGTGACTTAGTGGCGAAAATATCGACAAACGAAGGCAAGCAGTTGGCTGAGAAATTACATGCGGCTGCGTTTCTGGAGTGCTCTTCCAAAGACGGAACCGGAATAAAGGAAGTTTTCACAACAGCTCTTAATATTTATACTCGATCTTTTGCATATAAGCGTAGAAATAAGAGACCATGTAATATTATGTGATTGCGACAATATAATCTAATCAGATTTATGAGTAATGCGCCCATCTCCTAATCCCTGGTGGTTTGACTCATTCAGTGATTATTGGGCATCGTAATGGATCGGCTTAAAGTGGTCATAGTTGGTGATAGTTTCGTTGGAAAAACCAGTTTTACAATGCGACTGGTTAACGATGTCTTCCCAGAGAAGCATGTGCCGACTGTGTATGTGAAAATGTTAACATTAGTCCCAACCAACCAATCGCTCTGTGTTACAGATCGGACAAAAGCAAGGTGGATTTCTCTTTTGAAGGTTTCCGTTTCACAATTGATGTTTTCGATTCCGCCGGTGGAGAAGATTTCCACAGACTGCGCCATTTACTATATCCAATGGTAAGTTTCCAAGTCCATCACTTCCATCCTAAATTTTGCAATTTAGACGGACCTGTTTTTTCTGTGCTTTGCATTGAACGATTTAACCTCCTACAATAACGTCGTAAATTACTGGCTACCAGAATTAAGGCATCATCAACCAAGTGTACCCATTATTTTAATAGGTAAGTGTAAATTTCTGCATTTTGAATCGTAACGGTTTATTTGCAGGAACAAAATCTGATTTAGAACAAACCGTAATGGCCGACTGTAAATCACTCATGCAAAGCTACCCAAAGGTGAAAATCTTACTGAGATGTTCAGCAAAAACCGCCTCAGGTGTACATGACATCGTCGAAGCCGCTGTCGCAATTTGTTTAAGGAAGAGGAAACTAAAACAGAAAAAAAAGTGCATAATTTTGTAATTAGTGTCACCTACTGCGTGTCCCCTACTCTTGATCTAATGATTGGACTTCCTAAATTAAGCCGACCATAAAATGTAAAACTACGTTAAATTTCGAGAGAGTATCGTGCCTCTAATGAATTAACAAGGACAGTTTCGGGTCATCCCTTGAAGGTCTTGATTGAAATTGACAAACTGAAATTAAAAAGTTGTCGTTTTAAACTTAGGTAGGGGGCGAATAAAAGCGAAGCAAAAAATGAGTTTCGAGTTGGAAGTTTCGGAATTAAGACGCAAAAGCAAATCCTTATAAATTGAAGAGCATTTGTAACAAAGGGCTACATTTCTTTTTCATTTCGATTTAAAACAGTCACTTATTGCAGACTTTTCCAATAGGAACGGCATGATTGTAGATTGTACAATGAAATAAAGCGAAGGGTACTTCAAATACTTAATATCAAACTCTGTTGTTTACAGGTATTTCTGCAGTAGCATTAAAGGTGACATGTGGCACTATGATATAAAGACGAACATACTTTAAAAGTTTGATTATAATCAAAGCTGTAGCTTGACTTTTTAATTTCCATGTATCAATGCAAGATAAGCAGCCCTTAATACACTTAAGTGGTGGAAGTCCAGCTTTCATGGGAAATGAAAATGTTTATACAGCTTCCTAGCATCTTTCCAAAAATGTCTTTTCGCTATCTTATCTTCTAGAGTGCTCAAAACACATCCAACACCGCAAATTGCCTATAAAGCGTTAGAAAGCTCTGAAAATATAATGTGGAACCTTGGCTTCTAATGCTTGGAATACTATAAAGGAACCTTTAAAAAACTATGAAAAGAGCTTTTGGTGCTTCTCAAACTCTTAAGAGGCTTTAGAAGCCAATTGATTACAGAGCTTTTCCAGACTTTTCCATTGACTCAGTAAAGCACTTATGTATCTCTGAAATTCGATGCATTAGATTTTTTGAAAGCACTAACCATTATGAACACTTTTTACAGTAATCGAAGTCGAATAGTCTCCAGACTATTGCTTTATAATGCATATCCAGAGCCCTGTAGTATCGTCACAAAGCTGCTTAGACCCTTTCCAGATTTCCTTAGCAATTCCTTTTTCATAGCTTTCAATTCCTTTCTACAGCTTTATAGAATCTATGCTGTAGAGATATCCTAAAAAGTTCCATATCCTTTTTAGATTTCAGAACATTCTAATCCGTTTAGCTCATTTCTTGCTCTAGCACTTTAAATTATTTTTAAAACACTTTATTGGTTGTTCAGTTGTTTGCTCTGATGATGAAAGTTTTACATTTGAACCGCGTACAGTTTATTAAAGCGTGTGGTTTCTTGATAGAATTTTTTAAACCTTCCACATACCATTTTCAGCCCTTAACAGAGCTTTACAGTGCTTATCTAGGAGCATTCTACGTTTTCAAAGCCTTTTAGACTTCCGGAAAGGGTCTAGCTAGAACACTCTACACAGGGTCCCTGTTTTGGGTTTACAGCTACATAGGCACTTTGCCGCCTTATGTGGGGATGTCGCTGCCAGCTGATCACAATTTGAATAAATCAAATTAGAATCAGAAGCCTTCGAAAATCCTTCGAAACCCGACGGATCTTGGGTGCCTCATGAGTTTCAACAATCTCACAGGAGTATATCGAAAAACTAAAGCATCCATATAATCATAAGAAGCTAGGGAACGTGATTGATCTGAAGATTTGTAAAAAATGGAAAGGATCATCTGAATATAATGAAGTCTAAAGAATCGGGGAAATTCAGGAACTGAATTGTCCGAAAAACATTAAAAACTTGAAGAATTTTGTGAACCTAAATTTTTAATCAAAGCAACGGACCAAGAATTATAAGGGGAGTCCGATGTTTCCCGCGAAAAAGCTCGTGCATTTGCACAATTGAAATTATGTAACGTATTATTATTATTATTATTATATCAGAAGGTACCTAAAATATCTAAAAAACCAACAGAGGAATAGTTTGGATCAGAAGAATACAAATAATTATTAGCTAAAGAATATCAAGAGTCTAAAGAACCCAAAGAATCTAAAAAATTATAATTGTAAGAATCTTCTGAATATCCAAAGAAATGTTAAAAGGATAAAAAATGAACGGTCATGCAGTGAAAGATATTAGAAAGAATCAGAAGTTCGAGTAATCCAGAAAAAGTAAAGCATCCCAAGGACGACTCGAAGAATCGATCAAAACTGAAGCATTCCAAGATTTTGAACTAGTAGCCCAATCTTGGAACTGAAATTATAGATTCTACAGGCCACATTCTATTAGAAAATTTTTTTTCCGGGTCGATCTGAGACAATTTTTTCTCGGGCCTCAAAAAAAGGCAGTGTATAACCTTCCATTTTTACCAAAAATCGACTGCACCAAAATTTCTCGGGAAAACATTTTTTTCTTACTAATTTTGGAGCGTAGAATCCAAAACAATTCGTACTTTTTCGATCAGACTTCTCAATCAAAAGTTATAGACTAGAAACCAATTTCGAAAGAAAATTCAAAGGGCTGTAACTTTTGAACTAGTAGCCGAATCTTGGAACTGTTTGAAATTATGGATTCTACAGGCCACATTCTATAAGAAACTTTTTTTTTCGGGTCGATCTGAGACAATTTTTTTTTCGGGCCTCAAAAAAAGGCAGTGTATTTTACCAAAAATCGACTGCACCAAACTTTCTCGGGAAAACATTTTTTCTTCCTAATTTTGGTGCGTAGAATCCAAAACAATTCGTGCTTCTTCGATGAGATTTCTCAATAAAATGTTATAGACTAGAAACCAATTTCGAAAGAAAATTCAAATAAAGGCTGTAACTTTTGAACTAGTAGCCCAATCTTGGAACTGTTTGAAATTATGGATTCTACAGGTCTCATTCTATAAGAAACTTTTTTTTTCGGGTCGATCTGAGACAATTTTTTTTTCGGGCCTCAAAAAAAGGCAGTGTCCTTTTTTACCAAAAATCGACTGCACCAAAATTTCTCGGGAAAACACTTTTTCTTATTAATTTGGGTGCGTAGAATCCAAATCAATTCGTACTTTTTCGATCAGACTTCTTAATCAAAAGTTATAGACTAGAAACCAATTTCGAAAGAAAATTCAAAGGGCTGTAACTTTTGACCTAGTAGCCGAATCTTGGAACTGTTTGAAATTATGGATTCTACAGGCCACATTCTATAAGAAATTTTTTTTTCCGGGTCGATCTGAGACTTTTTTTCTCGGGCCTCAAAAAAAGGCATTGTATAACCTTTCTTTTTTACCAAACATCGACTACACTATAAAAAAGCGCTTATATTGTTTGTACTTTGGGGTACACTATAGTGGAATTTTTTGTTAGAATCTCTATTAATTTAAAATAAAATTGTTCAGTATGAAAAATATATAGCATGGATTGTTTATTTCGTTAAATTGTAACATATAACTTTTGCATCATAAATAAAGAAGATCAAGTGACATATTATTTATTGATTTAAAGGTATAATTCAGGTAACGTATCGATTTTAGTCTTGATGAGGTATTTAAATTTGGCGCTTTTTTTGAACACATCGTTCCTAATTTTTCTGGTCACAAATCTATCCAAATTAAGTGTTGGATATTCCAATAGCACATTATTTACCTTATTATTCAACTAAGGAGAACATAAATAAAATAATGCACGCCATTGTGTGGAGGGCGCCGAAATTATTTATTCCCCTAGGATTATTCGCCCTCGGAAAATTTACCGCCTGAATATCCGCAAGCGGAATAGTCACCGCGTGGTAAAAAAAACCATTGGCCCCAGGAAAAGTCGTCCCCGGAGTATTTGTTTCCAGATGCACCCCTGAAAATTTGCCGGCAGTAATATTCCGCGGGCAGAGAATTTTTTTGGGGATAATCTCCCTACAATCTAAAATCTCACCAATGCACTTATAAAATAACGTAACAACCAAAAATAAGTTGCTAATAACCCCATAAATTTAAAGGGAAGGAGACATTTATGGGGAAATTCTGTATACTGACACTAGCATTTATGTTAAACGTTCTTACGTGGAGCGATAATTTGAGACAGGCTAAGACGAGTTTCTTAACATTAATCCGTTAGGTCCGGATTTTCCTGGACTTGAGTTTTCCTGGCGAAGGAGTATTCCAGCGGGAGCGACTTCTACATGGACGAAATTTGTTGGAGCGGATTCTCAGGGGCGAATTTTCTGGGGCAAATTTCTAGGCAAATTTACTCGGGAGAGAGTTTTCTTATGTACGAATACTTCGGGGGAATGTGAAGGAGACGCTATACAAATTCTCGGAGATATCGCGGAAAAAATGTGCCATTGTGGAGAAAAAAAAATGCCATATACAGGCTGATTCAAATTCGATGGCCACCATGGGGATCTCGGGAACTGTAAGAGATAGGTAGGTAGTTTAAATTTGGTAAAGTTGCGTATTTTGATGTTTAACAAAATGCAGTGTTGAAACTGAAAAAATTTCTATTACTTTCGGAGATATCCGGAAAAAAACGAAATTTTGCCGAATCGCTTTTATTTTTTACTGAAGTTATTTAAAAAGATTAATTCGAAATAAATGACAGATTATTATGGCCACTTATTTCTCTCTACAAAATGTTGCTTTTAATAAATTTTAAGTTAGACGTTTTGTCTCCTGTCAACCATCATCAACTTTATTTTATTTATGGAAATCATTTTTACTTTTTGTGTCATTTGATAGAGCATTTTTTTCTGATTTAAAAAATGTAAATATCACTATTTATTAATAACTCCAGTAAACAATAAAAACAATTTCGCAAAATTTCGTTTTTTTCCGGATATCTCCGAAAGTAATAGAAATTTTTTTAGTTTCAAAACTGCATTTTGTTACGCATCAGCAACGTTTTGACCATCAGTCAGATCTTGTTGGAAGCTATACCACATTTCCCTTATCGGTAGCTATGTCTTACGCCCCCACAATCATATATACACGGTATTTTGGTAGATTTCACTAAAAACCCTTCACAAAATTGTACTCAATTTTTGGTTCACTTCTATTGGCGGCACGAGAAAAAGAGACCGCGATTCGAGGTTTAAGAAACTTTAAACCGCGTGACAAAATTCGCACTGGAAGGTAAAATGCTGACGACCAGAAGCCGCGCGCCTTGCAAAAGGTGGAATCCCTAGCAAAAAAGAAAACTCCGTCACGCAGAAGTTGTGCGCGTCTACAAGAGCTTCCCCACGACACCAGTTTAATATCAATCGGACCAAAACTGTAGAAGAAGATAGGAAAAAATCATCACGTTTGTAAACTACGCTCGGGGATGGCGCCCAGATGTCAACCCCACATCATTCCTGGGTTCTTCTACGGGCCCTCATTTGCTGCCAACAACAACAACAATTTGATTTATTAGTACCGACAATTACATACAATGTATTTAGCCGGGATCCTCCTTAAATATTTAATTATAACTCAAATTTGGTTTAACTTAATTTTTGATCTTATAGGTGGTGAAATAAAAGTAAAAAGTTTTCTTAATATAAATTTGTAACAACTTCAAATTATTAAAAACAAAATTTTGTAATAACAATAATTATAATTTAAATAAAAATTTCTAATATTTTAATGTTCTTTCTAAAATGTTTCATCCTAAACATCAACTTTAAATTTAACACTTTTCATTGCGAAATTACTTAGACAGGACCACCAATCTTCCTTCCTCTCCAAATCCGAAACATCACCAAAATTTCTCGGCCATCTCAAACCCAATCTTATCAATTTAATATCGTTCAATCTTCGGTTATCCTCTTCCAATGGACAATCAAACAAAATGTGTCCCACATCATCCACTCCTCCACAATCGCACAAATCACTCTCCTTTTTCCCAAATCGTTTTAAATACCCACTAAAATTCCCATGTCCAGTAACCAGCTGTATCAATGAATAATTTAAATCTTCCTGAACAAATTTATTTCTATTATGAATAGAAGAAATAAATTTATATGTCAATCTTCCACTCTTTGCTTCAATCCATCTTCTGTTCCATAAATTTAAAGAATTTTGATGTAATTTATTTTTAACATATGACAGAGGAATTTCGTTAAATGTAATTTCTAAATCGTTTTTTGCGGCTTCTTTTGCTAATGTATCAGCTCTCTCATTACCAAAATTTCCGGTGTGACTCTTTGTCCAATAAAATTTCACTTTAATATTATTATTTTCTTCTAAATTATGTAAATTTTCACGTATTTTAAATTTCAAATTATTACATCTTTTCGTTGATGTTATATAATTTAAAGCTGATAACGAATCCGAATAAATTGAAATAGATTGATTGTAATAATTTTGTTTTATAAATTTTAACGCTTTTTCTATTCCTGTATTTCAAATACCGTACATTCCTTTCCTAATTTTAATTTTTCATAGTAAATTTCCAAATTATTATTAAATACTACAAACGCTGCTCCTGTTCCATCTTCTAATTTTGAACCATCCGTGTAAATTTTTATTGTATTATTGTCTTCTTCCGATTTATAAATTTTATAATTTAAATTTTGAATTTTAGGGTGTCCCAAAGAATTAAAAGTTTTATAATTTTCTATTGTTTTATTTTCAAATTCTGTTTCAATTTTGTCGAATTTATTTGACTTTACAATTTTAAATTTTGCCGATTCCAAAATTTCCAAATCAATGGGTTTAATGTTCGCCAATATTAAAACTGCCTCACTTGGTGACGTTCTATAAGCCCTTATCATTTTTAATGCTATCGTCCTTTGTGCACCAATCAACATATTTCTTTCTTTTACACCCAATCCCTCGTACCAAATTTCCGCTCCATACGTTACTGCCGGTAATATTGAACCTTTATAAATCATTTTTATTATTTTCTTCTTCAATCCCCAATTAATTTTCACAACTGATCCAATCTGTCCACTAATATTTTTAATTTTTTTCGAGATATATTTTACATGCTCCTTCCAATTTAATTTGTTATCTAAAATAACACCCAAATATTTAATTTTATCTTTACATTTTATAAATTTATCGTTTAATCTAAAACTTGGTCCAATTTGATTTTTGTTTTTCCCAAAAAATAAAGCTTCGGACTTTTCAGCATTAAATTCTAATTTATAATCTTTAGTCCATTTATTCAAAATTGTTAAACATCTGTTTCCTGTTTCTTTTAAAATTTTAAATTGTTTGGCACCTATTATGAGTATTGTGTCGTCCGCATACGATATTAATTTTGAATTATTCGGAAGTTTTTCTCTAAATATGGTATTATATAGAATTTTCCAAAATACCGGACCACAACAACTACCTTGAGGGCATCCTTTTTTTTTTGCTGCCAGTCAGCCAAAGTGAGATGAAAAGTACAAATAAATCTGCAAAAAATGCGCTAAACATCTGCTATAAAAGTAGTAGTATTTTCCTCGTCTTGAAGTTCGTATTAGACACACATTTTCAAGATCAATCAAACTTTCCTAAACAAGAAAGTTATGTTGGAATGTTTTCTATAACCCTGCTAGCAATTAAAAAGTGAAAGCTATCTCAAATTGACTGTTGCTTTGGAAAGTCCTGAGAAATTGAGTTTAGGTGTTCCAAGTTACCAAAATAATAATCGTTCAATAGTCGAGTCCAAAGGAGTCTCTTGCCTTGAGGAAGCGCCAAATTTGACGCTTTCTTTACAGAAAACCATCACTTTGACAGTGCCTTTGTTTTGGATAAATCCCAAGTCAAGATTTCTTTAGACTATGGTTGTAGTGTAAAATTAACGCCCCTGCCGAGGCCTTTGCGTCAGATACTGCTACTAAATTAATGTAAATGTCCGTTCATTGTGACAATTACTGATTTGGAACTGTGCGAAATCGCCACTATGGAATTTTGTTATCTACCTACTTCCTTTCTGTCTATCAACTTTGTCTCTGCTTTCGCCTTTAGTGTACGTGAACTTCGATCTCACGCAGCAACATTGCAAAAAAATTTAAAGTACAGTCGGTTGCGAATTTTCACGATAACCTTAATCCAATAAAGTACCTACATCATCGTATCTTTACGTAAGGTTTCGTTATCAGAAAAATGTAGAGTAAATAGGTATCACCCACCACCAGAAACTCTAATCTTATCTAAAGTGATATCTGCTAACTTCAATTCTTCGATTTAATAACAGTACCTATCTACTTGTGTGTGTTTAAAAAACTGTTTTTGCGTGATTTTGACAGTGACAGCTCAGGTAAGGTGAATAAGTTTGTTATAAACTGGAACAAAGCGATGCGATGGAAATATTTTTGAAAAGCTAAAAAATTGAGTCACTGCTTAATGTAGGTACGTCATTTTACTGGTAAATATTGACCCATGTAAATAGCGAATGATTAGACACCTTTGACTGAGATTTATCGCTTGTAAAAACTGTAATTTAAGCCACTTTGGATTGATTTAAACCTAAATGTCTCTGCCATTAACGTTAAAAATTAGGAAGGATGAAGAATTTGAAATTCCTTATGTGCCAGTTGCAAGTTTAAAAATTTAACACACAGGAATTCATCTAAATTTTTTTATCTATAACTGCTTAATCCACGCTGTTTTGATAGTGGGTATTTATTATTGCCACTCATTATATATCACAACAAGAATGTAAAATTCGGTCAGTACATTGAAGGTTAATTACAAACCTTGCGTTATATTCACATATCACCGCCCGCTATTCGTACTAGTTTCCAGAATTGTGCAATCAGTGTTAACTTTTATGTCACATTTGGATATTCACGGATAATTACGCTGCCTACCTTATCTATGTGTTACTTTATACCGGGTATAAATCTGCATCATTAAAGATAGTCCCAATGGCTCTCACTCCGTTTAAATGCCGATTCAAGCTCTACAAACGAGTAAATTTCGTGCAAATAGGAAAACACTCAAAGCAGCCATGGACCACGAGCAAGGAATAGATAGATTGTTTAATAATATTGTTCAGGTTGTTTTTTAAGACGAGTGTGCGTTTAATAATAACCGAATTTAAATAGTAGAGTTGGCAGAGGATAATCTTATCTTTTTTTGTTCTACATTTTCTTGTAAAGATGCGGGGAAAAGTGAGAAAAATAGAATCGATTGTAAAAGTTCCTATCTCGATAGCTTTGGAATCGAAACAGTACCTAGTTTGAATACCGAAATCGAAGACGAACAACATCAAATTAGTAGAACAACATTTCCCTTTAGTGAGGTCGTTTAGTCGTTTACCTCTCAGATACAATCGTCAAATTTTGCGTAAAGCTTCTCGAGATCCTAACAAACAATTTTCAAGGAGTTACCACTTCAAGAAGTTAATGGGATCCCTTTTTATGAAGTTTCGAACTCTTGAAAATTAACATTTTGTCATTTTTATCAGAAACTTGAATTTTTACATCTTTTTCTCAGCACAATTTTATGGCCCTTACAATGATACCAAACCAAACATACACTACACCTTTTCATAACTTTTAATCGACACTTATCGGCCCGATCGACAATTGTCAGTCCGATTTCATTACCATGAAGGGTGGAATGTATTGCAAAAAAAACTCCAGGCCTCTAAAACAATTCCCCTAAAGTAGTTCCAAACCGCCGAAGTGGATCCGGATGGATGGATGGACACACGGACAGCCGGACGGACGAAACGCAAACAATAGTACATTTTTTTAATTCTTAAAAATGCGCGCTAAATGAATAAGGGAGAAAAAAACAGAAAATATGAAAGGGTAAAGGGCAAGGAAGGTGTAAAAGAGACACCGGAGAGGTGGCCACCACGGGATGTTAAAGAGGCATGGACATGCAAAGAGATCTGTTAGGGGTGCGAAGAATACGAAACGTCAATGGAAACGCGAAGAAATGTGAGGGACCGAGGGTGGTTTAAAGTAGGACTGCAGGGGGTGACTTAAAGAGGTGTAAAAGAATCACGCAGGGGGTTGATACAAACAGCTTACAATAGAGAAGTGAAGGATTCATAAAGAGGGAGGTTTGGGGCATGTGTGAGTTGGTGGAAAGAAATCTAGACATATTATTCCTGTCCTGCCAAAAAGACATGAAAAAGTGTGTAGAAGTAGTGAGGGGTATTTCAAACAAGGATGATGACGAAAGGAGTGAGGCGTAAAGAACAGTATAATATAGGTGGTCGCTTTGACGTTTTAAAAATTTGGTGTTTATTTAGTGTTTTGTTAAGCATAGGGAAATTTCCACATGCACCGTTTCATAGCAAACTTAAACGAAAGTAAGTCTGGCGATAATAAAAACGTATTGGAGAAAGCGAGCGCGGTTGCCACGATCTCTTCGGACCTAAAAGTTGCGTTCGTTCCATCTCCGCCGGCTGTGCCGAAATGCGGGTTTTCTATTGGTTGGCAGGGCACGACAATCGAGGTCATTGCGTCCAGAAAAGAAGGCCCGTGTCCTTTTAAAGGTCGTGCCTGTAAATCTCCCATGAGACTTTATATTTATAGGTGCTCAAAAATGTTTAAGATCGTATGAGAGCAAGTGTATAAGGGTGTTTAACAGCTTTGAAAGTCGCTTTGAGCAATTGAATTTCTACTTATAATATCCTATTCCTTTAGACAGAATCTTTAAGGACCTTCAAACGTTTTCCATGTACTTTCCAAAGCCCTCAAAAGACATTTGGTTTCAGATCGTTCCGTTGTGTATAAAATCGAGCACATGACAAAAATACAGGTTTACTATTCACTTAAAAAGGTACGCTAGTCGGCGTTGTTGCGTTCAGAAAATGTGTCCCGTTTCAGAACTTCTAACGGGCGAGATCCAAATAGCGAGAAAAGTGGAAGAACGATCGTTCTAAACTGATTTTCGCGAACGAGTACGTACTGATTTGGGCACCCTTATTACTATTATTCTTGGTTTATTTCAAATAAAATGAAAGGTTTTGGTTTAATTTCAAGAGCATAGTAGCACAGAATTAGCAGTAGCGAGCAACGAAGAAAAACTTTCGATTCGAAGGAAGGGTGGTAAAATATAAGCGAAGGAACATTTTCGACTCGAAGACCCGCTTTTCAAATAAAAAATGGAACGAGTTTTTTTTTTCAAATCGCTAACACTAACGGCTAGTTAAAATCGGGTGCATTTTGCATTTTGATAGATGCAGAAAAAAGAACGTTGAATTGATTTTATTCCCTGCGGTCTTACGTTATTATTGAAAACGTTGAGCCCTATAAGGACTCTCTTCCTTTCTTGACGAAGATTCCATATCACACAGACTTCTCTTCTAGTATTACGGTGGATGGTTCCTTTCCAAAAATTACAGTGTAAGTGCTATGGGCAGTGTACGTTGTGGGGAAGAATGTTAAACCTGGTGGTCTGGGGGTTGTGGAATACCCCCCTTCAACGCCTCCGAAGATTTTGAAAGGTGTAGGGAAAAAACATGGAATTATTCTCTGGGGAGTATTCCATATCCTCCAGACCGACCGATGGTACGTTATAATTGTAAACGTTCAGCTCTCAGGGGCAGTAGGCGAAAAAGAAATTTCGATCAGGCCGACAATATTGTCGATCGAATCAAAATAAATTAATTTTATTTACTACCAAAATGTTAGAAGTGCAAGAACCAAATGCAAGGACATTTATTTAAACTTATTGGGTAATGATTATGATATTGTTATATTTACGGAATGGGGATTAAGTAGTTTTTAGGAACTTTACCTTTTTTTTGTAATTCTTTTGACGAAATTGACTATGTTTTAAAACCCCGTTCTTATATGTAATTTGTTCCCGTTCTATTATTTTCATTAAACGTTTATTTATTAAAAAAAATGAAATAGTACTTTCAAAGGTTCAGAATTATTTGATAGTAGGTACAATATTTTCAGGAAAGATAGATCTGGCAATGACCGTTTCGGGGGTGTTTTAATTGCAAAAAAAATCGTATAATGCCTCGATTGATAATAATCAGGAATGTGTATTAAATTTATTGTTTATTATTATTATTGTAGGTGATTTCCTAGACCCACAGAAACCATCTAAAACTGTTAAACACTTGGAAAATTTTAAATCCGCGTATAATTTGACGTCCTTTAATACCGAAACAAACGTTTTAAATCGCAAAATTCAACCAAACCACACCAAAGTAACTGTTTCGGAACCATTATGTATAACAGAGACAAATGAAAAAGAAATTGGTGAAGCAATTGATTGAATTAAAGTACAAGGACCTGATGGTATTCCTGCATATTATGCCGTAAAAGGTTGCAAAGATTCCAGTATTTGAAGCTAACAAATTTCCTCCTAAATGAAAAACTACAAAAGTATGTCCACTGCATAAATTTGGGCCCAAGAAAACATTGCAAACTATAGAGTAATAGTAGTCTTATCAGCACCTGCAAAAATATTTGAAAAAGTGTCGCAAAATGTCAAAACATACACAGGGTAGCCATTTGAAAACGAAACAGAGCGGTTTTTAGGGACTTCAAGACATCTACGAAAAAATCCCAGGACCTGTCATTTTTTATTCAAGGGGAAACCATTTTTTTGCTAGTTTCGCCCTCCTGAGGGCAAAGCCCCAGCGGGGGTGACAAACGCCGCCAAAATTTTAAATCGAAAGAGGGGTCAAGTGATACCTTATTTTGAAGGTATTTTTATGTGGATTATAACCCTTTAAATTTTAAATCGCTACTAATTTGCGTAGCCGGTACAGGGGCTAATATACATTACAAAAACGTGTCATTTTTCTTATGAAAAACAATGCTTGTAAAGGAATTTGTTAAATAACAAAAATAAACCAAAAATGTTGTTCTCCTACATTCTGAATCGTACTTTTTGTTGTTTTTTCTTTTTAATACTCGTAGGTACATATGCCAATTCCTCGTACACAATTGGTTACATTTCTTTCTTACACATCTCATACGTTTAATGTTTCTTCGAGGGTAGCACAAAGATCTAATCTTGGCCCTCTCCTTTTTCTGTTATTTACTAATGATTTATCTAACGTTGTGACATTTAGTGAGCCTCTACTTTTTGCTGATGATTTTAAATTGACCCATCCAATATTGTCCCATTGTCCGATTGTTTGAAGCTAAAATATGATCTAGACGCAGTGATGGCGTGGAGTAAGGAAAATGAATTGCATTTAAATATTAAAATTGCAAATCGTTGAGGTTCTCGCGAAAAAGAGAGGATGCAATGCAATTACAAGTTGACAGATCAACCTTTGGAAGCTGTAGATTACCTAGACGATCTCGGTATCGTTTTCGCTCGCGTTTTCGATAAGAAATTGTCTATTAACATTCATATTGAAAACAAGATTAAAGAGGCGTATTCAAGTTTGGGCTTCATTTTCAGATCTTCCAAAGATCTTAAAAACAGAAGTTAGTCACACACTAGTCCGGCCACATCTTGAGTATGCATCCATCATATCGGCACCTTATTTAAATAAATACCAGCAGGCCATAGAAATGGTTCACAAAAAATTCACGTATGCAGTACTTAAATCTTTGCCCATTATTCGGATCTATTGCAAACATATTGTATGAAAAGCCTGAGTTATCGGAGAAGAAATCATCTTTTAATTTTCTTTTATAAACTTTTAAATAACCAAGTGAGTTAATCACATTTGTTCTCATTAATTAATTTCAATGTTCCGGACCACAGAACTAGATGTAAATTCATATTTTTTAAGATACCTCCATCCAAATCCATTTTATTAAATCACACAATAGCTATATTTTTTTTTTATTTTTTTTTATTACCTTTATTTTATAGTGGGCGAAGTGTTAGCAATTTGTTACTCTTCCCACTCAACCCACTATGCAATCACAAACAGCCATGCCTTACCTGGGGGATTCGAACCCAGGACCCTTGTAGCCAAAGTTAGAGCTTCTAACGTAAGCTCATCTGAGCTACACGCAGGTTCTTTGGAAATTTTCGATGTAACATTATCGCATTTCAAGAAACAGTTAATGATTATTTAGTTAGTTTTTGGTTTTTCCTTTACCTTATACTAATCAATTATTATTTATTCATAATTTATATTATCACAGAATATTTAAGAGTTATTTTAGTCCTCAAAACTGTCATTGGATACAATGTGTCTGTTGTTTTGAGTATTTCAATAAATAAATAAATAAATAAATAAGATTGATCTTCATCTTCGATTACTTAATTGCAGAAGATTAATATTCCATGATTCTGCAAATGAGGGACACAATTCGGATTAATTACGAACTGGTCCTGGCAGACTTTAGAATTTAGAAGTCTCTAACAATTCTCTATAATGCATCAACTGGGAGAATAAACCCGCAAGATAGAATGTACGACTTCATAAAAGATTTTTGGGCCTAAAAGCTTTCTCTTCAAGTATAAACGCCATTATTAATTTAAATATGATACGAAGGAGAGCGGACCGCTATCACTCAACTTAGCACGGATACTGAGCACAATATATCAGTAAATTACATTTCATATTCTCAATCATCCACTCTGTGGCCTACATTTTGAGTAACTACAGTTATAATTTCGCAACAGAAGTAAACTTTAATGCAACTGGCAACTGAATCAGTAAAATGACTTTCCTTGCACTACAAACATTGATTTAACACTCTAAAAATGTTCCGCATCCAACATTAAAGAGTGGTTGCGATTTCATTAAACTCGGCACGTTCGAGACGTTTCCGTCAGATAATGTCGAGCTAGATTTCCATTTTGTGCAACTTTTAAGAGCGACTCGTCTAAACAAACACAGCGTGATGAACAAAATAATATTACTTGCAGTGCTATGATTGCATACGAAAAATGGAAACGTACAAAACTCACATACGTATGACCGTAGTTGGAGACGGAGATACGGGCAAAACGTGCATGCTTATAGTCTACAAGGATAAGAAGTATGAAGACTACTACATTCCGACAGTGTAACTAACCCTCTAAATTTCGGATTTGAATCTATAATTGTTGTTTTCAGGTTCGACTCGTATTCAATGAACGTTAGAGTGAATGGACGAACCTGTACCATAATTCTGCAAGATACCGCCGGACAGGAAGAATACGATAGATTACGTCCTCTATCGTATCCCGAAACGGATGTATTTATTATGTGTTTCTCTGTCGATAAGAGAGCTTCGTATAACAATATTATCAATAAATGGATTCCGGAAATACGTCATCATCGACCAACAGCAAAAATTATTCTAGTCGGTAAGGAAGGATGGTGATGAACTTAGTAGATTCATTTAACTGCTGGGTGATAGCTATCTATGCCACCACTCAACAAACTTTTAGAGGGACAGTGAAGTTTCCCAACCCGTTTTTTTCCTAATGTCGAGATTTATCTCGTATTTTGAAAAAAATTATGCTTTAAAAGCCGACACCATTTGAATTCCGTAATAGACTACGTTACGTAGATGGTGATGAACTGTAAGACTTTCCAAAACGTTAATCAATTGTGGAAGGTGTCAAAATTAGAAAAAAAGAATATTGATTCGCAGTAGTAATCACATTATAATTGGCTTCCGTTACGTCCTGCTATGATGTAGGTTATTATTCATATAAAAAGTTACGGGAAAATAATCATCACTAATTCCGTTTTATTGGGGGTTTCCTCAACTTCCAAATGGAACATTACAAGAATGCAATTAACGATACTTTTTCGTTCAGTCTTTTCTATATAATTCCAGCGTTCTGTGTCATCGATCTGTCTTTTTATTAGGTACCTCATCTCTTTTTCTGTCATCTACGTATCATATCGTGTATATTTTCACCGCCAGTTTTTAGCCTGATTAAACCTCTTGTACACATTCTGCCCCTTTCTCTTTTATTTCGTCATCTTCCTTATACAAAATTCATTCAAATACATATTCCGTTTTTTTATTTAATCTTTATTAGTGTCCTATTCTATTAGTTTCACGTTCCTTCACCCCCCATTTCCTCCATTGTATCATTTTCATATTCATTTCTTCAATTAATTTCTTCGCTAACCAACCTTTCGTTATATTAGCTTTTTTTTAATGATCTAATGATCATGATTGTATTATTGTGATTCTATACTGTTTTCATAGCACCTGTTAATTTTATTTTTTGTCAATTTCAGCAACTAAAACTGATCTCCGCGGAGAAAATCAAAAAACGATATCGATTAAAGAAGGGGAAGAATTACACCACAAAATCAAGTCTGACGGTTTCGTCGAGTGCTCATCCAAATTTATGTGGAATATCAACAGGGTGTTTGAAGAAGCTCTACTGAGCGTTGTCGGGAAACCGAAAGAACCTAAAAGCAGTAGGGGCTTTTGCATGTTATTGTAGTTAAAATCAATCTCTCTATTATAGACAAATTATTATATTTCAATAAATACTCCAACGTGTAGATTAATTTTTGTAATTTATGTACCATAAGTCAGCTTAACTTTAAATGAATGTTTATATAGTTCCCAGGCATTCTGATTTCATGTATAGCGATAGTTCCGCACCTGTAATCCAATTCAGCCTCATAATGGTATTTATCATATTAATAGTTCGATTATGGTTGGAAAAACATCCAAAGGCGCCCCAGAACTGAATCCTGCAAGGAAGAATAGTCAAGAATGTACACGAATCCAAACAGTGTTTACTAACGTTGAGAATATGGTATACATCTTCTTAATAATCCAAACCTCAAAAGTAACTGACCTCACACAAAAATGGAGTAGGACCAGGAATAGAACGAGTACCTATGTCACGTGCAATTGTGATAAATTTAAATTCTCAATTAAGGAAATGTATCTGTGTACCTAATTTTCTATATTTTACATTTTGCAAACGCGATATGTACGTATGATAAAAGTAAAATTCAAAATTCAAAGCAGGAAGCAAACCTCATTAATTGTTTGTTGAACTAGGGCTTTCTCGTATATATTAAGGGCCATACAGACGGAAGTTTTTGTACGCGTTGTGCATTCAAAAACGCACATACAACAACGTGAATTTGTGAATGCGCAACAGAAATTTTGTGCGTGCGTACAAAAAGTTTCAACGTGTGGATGCAAATTGTGCGTCGCACATCATTTCTGTTTTTTTACAAATGTCTAAAGGTAGAATACTGTCCCGCGAAATCCTGCGGGAATTTTTTGAATTATTTTGTTCATTTTCGTTAGAGCACAGCCGTGTACGTCACTGTTGCCAATACTAAATCAACTACTTTCTTGGACATCGCTCAAAATACTGCGAAATTGTAGATTTGCCTGTAGACAGTGGTAATGCACGTTTTTGTATGTGCGTTTTTGATACAGATACATAAACGCGTACAAAAACATCCGTCTGTAGCAGCCCTTAAAGTTCATGTAAAAGTTGATTTTATTTATTATTGGAATCTCGTACCTGTATCGGGATATTCCTGAATTTTTCCGCGAGTGAAATCCCGAGGGTTGAAAGGGGTGGAAAGTGGTGTTTTGAAAATTGTGGCAAAACTATTAATTTTAGACGAAAATGTTAAATGTAAAAGTTATAGAGATTAAAAAAATGAGCAACTTTTGTATCTGCACTATTTTCACGTAACCTCCAATTTTCCTAGAAAAACCGAAAATTTTTTCGTTTTTTTATTGTTATTTTTGCGAAAAAATGTCGTAGAGGTTTGAAATTTGAAGGAAACATAGCTTGTTTTATGATAAAAAAGAAAATAATTTGGGCCTGTAAAGTTGAACCGTTTCCAAGATTTCTGAAATAAACCATCTCTTCTTCAAGGAGATGAAAAATCTATTTTTTTTTATCGTACAGAGGTGCGCGGGGTAGCAAAATTTTCGTAATGAATTACATTTTACTAATCAAAAATAAAAAACATTATTCCAATAGAAAAATTTGAAGAAAAGCGGCAAAAACGGGGGGAACAGTTTTAAGATACACCGTTTTTGACAGTAGGTAAATAAGCTTTTTTGCAAATAAATTAACGTATTGGCTCCGCGCTAATAAAAAGTTTTTGAAATCTGTCTTGTCTCTCCTCTTTAATGTTGCTCAAATATTTCCCAGGACTGCCTTAATTAAAACATCTTTATTATTTTTTTCTGCATTTTTACCGCAATAAAAGCAATTCGAAGTAAAATCGAATTATTTTGCTTCCTGAACAATTTGTTTTTGTTCACTAACTCTTCTTCCTGCCTGTTTTACAGCTGCTGGGATTAAGATTTAAGCTAAGCCTGTTGATCGTTAATTTACAGGCATTATGAATAAAATCCTCATAAAGTTTATTCCAGGTTTTACCTCTCAAATCATTTGCTTTGGCCGGTTTTGCAAGTTTATCAACAGGCCCAAAGCGTTTGCATCAGCTATAAAACAGGCAGGAAGAAGAGTCAGTGAACAAAAACAAATTGTTCGGGAATCAGGAAGCAAGATAATCAGATTTTATTTCGAATTGCTTTTATTGCGGTAAAAACGCTGAAAAAAGAAATAATAAAGATGTTTTAACTAAAACAATAAGATAACAAAAGAGAATATTTTAAGCAAACATTAAAGAGAAGCAAGAAGACAGGTTTCGAAAAAATCTTTATTAACGTCCAACACGTTGATTTATCATGTCAAAAACCGTGCATATCTTAAAACTGTTCTTCCAGTTTTTGGCGATTTTATCGAATTTCGGCTATAGGAATATATTTTTTATTTTTGTTTATTAAAATATAAGTCTTCGCACCTCTGTACAATGAAAAAAAATAGATTTTTCATCCCCTTGAAAAGAGGTGATTTTTTTCAGCAATCGTGAGATCTTGGAAACGGTTCAACTTTACAGGCCCAAAAAATTATCTTCTTTTTTATCATAAAACAAGCTATGTCTCCTCCAAATTTCAAACCCCTACGGCATTTTTTCGCAAATAAAAAACGAAAAAAAAACAGTTTTTCCGGTTTTTCCAGGAAAATTGGAGGTATGTGAAAATAGTGCAGATACAAAAGTTGCTCATTTTTCTAATCTCTATAACTTTTACGTTGAACATTTTCCTCTAAAGTTAATAGTTTAGCCACCATTTGCAAAACACCACTTTCCACCCCTTTCAACCCCCGTGATTTCAACCGCGGAAAAATTCTGCTGTTTTAATTATTTTTTCCCAATTTCTATTCATTTCACCTGCCTGAAAAACCCGGTTTCGCCCGGTAACTAATTTTTTTTTGTAAAAAATATTATATATAGCCTGGACTATAAATGATAGGGACGATTTCTAATAAATAAAAATTCACATTTTACCGACACGGTAAAGTGTATACAGTCCTCCTTGGATGCTTCCGTGGAAAAGTTTCTCAGGAAATAATTAATAGGGGGAATTATGACGCTTGAATGTGTATTTAGTTTTGGCACTCGCATAAAGTTTTCTTTTGTTTTTAATTTAGGTTAGGGTTCATATTTAGTTTTATAATTAACGATTTTCTTTGGGTTTTTGTTGGTTGTTTTTATACCATGTGGCGTGCTATCCACTAGAATTCTTTTTATTTTTCTCTTGTGATTGTAAATTCTATCTAGTTCACCGTTGTTTCCCTTATACAGGGCGCGTTTTTATTTCAGAAAACAAATTAATATTAAAATCAATTGAATTTTTTTAAATAGCAATGCACACTTTCATTAGGCACATTTGATAGAGATTTTTTTCACTTTTCAATGACGTAACACATTAGCCACCCGTCTAGAAGAAATTAATTTTGATTTCAAGCTTTTTAAGATAGTTTATGTCACTCTCTTGTAGTTAATGGTCATTGCGATGAAAATCACAATTTCGTTTTGTCTTCAACGTTTAATAAGAAACGTTTTTATTTTGTTGTCGGCTATCTGGATTAATGCTTTGAATATAAAGATAATTCCAAGATTAATGTTAATAATCTATTTATAAAAATTTTTTGTTTAAATGTTCTTGAATAAGGGTACTATCATGTTATATCATCGAAAAGAGAAAAAGAATCTTTATCAAATGAGCCTAATAAAAAGATACACTGTCATTAATAAAAATTCATTTGTTCGTTACTCATTTGTTTTCTGAAATAAAAACAACTGAATGCTGCTTTATTGTGGGAAATAAAATGTTAAACAACTTTCACATAAAAAACTTTGTATGCATTCGATATTTACCTAGTTATATACTATATGACATAATGGGCACCCTGTATACATCTTTCCGCTTTCACCTTTTATCTATTTTTATTAATCCATCACTATCTCCTATAATTTAATGCTCATCTCTGCTTTCTGGGTTTTGTGTCGCATCTTTGGGTTTATTTGTAGCGTCCTCTATCGTTTGTTTGTTGTAGGTATTGATTTTTCTGCCTTCTGTTACTTCCGCCTAGTATCCTTTTAGTTACCTTTTTGACATTTGGCGAAGGTCAAACAAAATTTTTTTTGATAAAGTACTTAAAAAATTATGTGACTGTGGAAGAAGTCTTAACCTGTGCCTCAGTCCAAAACTTAGCCCCCTGCATGATTTAGTTTCTCTCAAAAAAAATTTCGAAAAACTGTCAAATTTTGACGAAAAAAGGATATAACACCGTTAAAGTTAGGGGTATAACATATTACATAAAAAATAGGTAAGTATTTTTCAAGTACGTTCCAAATCAGGAATAAAATATGAGGTGTTCAATTTATAAATCGCAAGTTTGATATGCCACTGGAATACATCACGCCCCTGGTGATAAAAAATGGCGACGGTAAATGTGTACAATTTTGCTCTAGGACTTTTAGCGGTATCTTTCATGGTAAAGCAATTATGATCCGAGGGGTTTTAGGTGCTACACCCTGTAGAGTTACATTTCTTGTTATATTTCGGAGAATATTCCATTCCACAGTCCGTCGATTTGCAGGAATGGTCGGGACAATTTTTGGAAAGAATTGGTTTAGGGTTCCACTAACTGTAAAAAAATTGAGAAAGCTATGGGAGTCACCCACTTTGAAAGACAAAGACTCGTTTTTTTAAATTTATTAATCTAATTTATCAATGACTATATGATACCTAACCTAGGAACATCGGGTGTTTCACATTATTTTGATAGTTAATGAAGTGACCAAATACGGATTTTCAAAAAGATCGGATGAAATTTACTTAGTAATAATAAATTGTTAATTTTCGGAATTATATTTTTTATATTCTTCCACAAACAACAATAACATTAAAAATGAATGTGTAATACCAACATGATGGGTGGGCGACATCTGGAGATTTTTCGGTTTTTTCCTATCTTCTACTACAGTTTTGGTCCAATTATAAAGTCATAACAATTCTCCCACACTATTTTAAAAATTGAACTAATAACACAAATAATCTTGCAGTTTACCTAGTGGTCTTTTTTGTCTTGATTGCTTTTGATTTTGACGTTCTATCGATTGCTCGTCTGGTATTCTTGTTTCCTTTTCTCTATCCGGTATATTTTCGA